AAGTAGTTGGCCACTACGGCCAACGGCCGTAATGCACCTGCAATCAACCGTAACTTATTATAGAGCAATGGCTCTTGCGGAGATAGCTGGTTCACCTAGCAATTTGTCTTACACCGAAACGAACGCGGTGACTTACGCGGAACCATTCTTCACGCCATTCAAACGCTAAATACGCTTAAGAATTAATTGATACAATATGGCAATGTCGCAATATTCAAGTGCGGTAGCTGAAATTTATATCAGCGTAATTATCTTAGCAAACATAGGGAAATAAAAAATACGATCAAATCCTTGATGAGACAATTGAAACAATAGAGATATTTTACAATAGGAATAATAATTAATTTTTATTTTATTTTTAAGGAAATTCAATTTTTAAGTAAATTCAATATTTATAATAAATATTAATATTTGCTGTAATCTGTGTTTAAATATCAAGTTTTTAACTGTTAAGTTACATATACATTTTTTTTAACATATATATATATAATTATTTATATATAGATATTCATAGGAAAATTGATACGAGCAATGTATATCTGTAATATTTATTTGTGTTTATCATAAAAATCAAAGAGAAATTTTTGGTATGTAAGGATAAGAAAATTTTAATTACACTATTGATATTTTTACCACAAAATCTAAATAAACACAAATGTCACTAAACGCACAGTTGTATCATAACATAAGTACTATTGCATCATATGAGTGTACCGGCATTTCTAGTAGTTCGATGGTAATAATTAGTGAGAGCCTATCCTTTTGCTGTTTTATTAGTTTGTGGTTTATAGTTTATGCAATTGTGCTTATACCTGAGGCTGCATATTATTTCTTGTTATAAGTAATAAATTTCTAATAACAATCATTGGATCAGACGTTAATTGAACATATATGGTGTCTCGAAATTCGCGAATCAAAATATCATAGCAAGAAAGTCTTCGAAAAATTAAGTAAAAAAATTATTTGTAAATTTTTAATTTAAGTAGTAGTTTTTGAGATATAAGAGTTTAAATTTAGCCAATTATACATTACGATTAAACGGAAACATGTCCGTGAGCGCGTCAATAGTGTTAGTGGTCGTGCACTTCACGCGAGTGTACTAATCTATAATCTATATTGGCTAAATTTAAACTCTTATATCTTAAAAACTGTTGCTTAAAATAAAAAATTACAAATAACTTTTTTACTTAATGTTTCAAAGCTTTCTTGCTATGATATTTTAATTCGCGAATTTCGGGACACTCTGTATACATATATACAAATAAAAGAAAGTGCAACGTGCGTTTAATAAATTTTTTTCTTTCTAATGGCCAATTAATTGTAGCCATATAAAGTGATTTCATGCATATTATCGCACTTTCTCAAAAAGATTAGCACATTTTAATTTAAAATACGATTGGTTGCTTATTGTTAGAGAATAATAAAATGCAAGAAGTATATTTTCTTTTTTATTAGGATAAACCCGGATATATAATATATACGTCACGCGAGGATTTACGCCGCAGAAGTCAGAAAAAATAGAAGAAGTGAAACTAATTTTCTCGCAACCACTCTGTTACATACCTTTATGTTATATATTAGTATTGTGTTGTGATTTCAGTTTTTTATAGATCGGAAGAGCACACG